ATCTTCTTCAGACTACCATTCCCAGGATTCCTTGGAGGAGGAGGAGAAGAAGAGATTGGATTTATACCCCGCCCTTAACTACCCGAGGGAGTCTCAGAGCGGCTTACAAACTCCTTTTCCTTCCCCTCCCCACAACAGACACCCTGTGAGGCAGGTGGGGCTGAGAGAGCTCTTTCGCGGACTGCTCCTGAGAGAACAGCTCCGAACTTGTGACTGACCCAAGGTCACACCAGCCACTGCATGTGGAGGAGTGGGGAATCAAACCCGGTTCTCCCAGATTAGAGTCCGCACACTTAACCACTACACCAAACTGGCTCTGGATGGGCCGGTTTCGGCCCCCCGGGCCTTATGTTTGACACCCCTGCTCTAGGTCCTCCTCTGATCTCGCTTCCTATCCAGGGCTGGGGTCAGCATACTCTGCAGTGGGGCATCAGCTAGAGCCTAGAGCTTCTGCCAGGGCCCACTGTTGTTGACTCATGCACCTCTCCGTCCATGTGCTCTTCCCTGCCAATTTGCTTGCAAGCTCTCCATTGTGGCAATGTGGCACAGGCAGTGGGAGGGTGTGTGATGGGCTGAAGGATGCACAGTCAAGTGGGAGGCCTGCAGGTGGGTGGGAGGAAAGGGAGACAGGATGGGGACCTGGTGGTGGGCGGAAGGGGCCTTCTGGGCCTTGTCTGCCCAAGCCCAACCCAGTTCTGTAACTGGCCCTGTTCCTACCGACTACGCCATACCTTCCAGCTGTGCCCTTTGATCAGGTACACTCCCTATTTTCTAGGAGGTGTTGCTGGTAGACCAGTATCCCTGTCACTTGCTGGGCCCATAACCTGATGGGATGTTAGCAGAGTGCTCAAAGCACATGGTGTGGTCCCTGGCTCTGGCTTTCCTCAACTGGGTAGGGAGCTGGATTAGCTGGTGCAGAAGGCCCTCTCCAACTTTAGGACTCTCAGAAGCAAGACAATGAGAGGGGCAACGAAAGATGAAGGAAATAACTTCTCAGATCTTTGGTTGCAGGCTTGTTTTTGACTGGAAATATTATAGGGAAGCACAGGAGATTTAGAAAAGAGCAAGCGTCCAGGAGCCCCTTAAAGATTAACAAAATCTCTGGCAGGGCACATACCCTCCCACAAATTTTGTTAGTCTTTAAGATGCTGCTGGACTCCTGCTCTTTTCTCCTGCTACAGACAGAGTAACATGGTGACCCCTCTTGATCTATCCCCACAGGTGATGAGGCAGCATCCATGTGATGTTGAAGCCATCATGAGATACCTCGTGAGGGGCATTCTAGTCTTCAAAATGTTAACTGTTCACCCCGTCTTTTTTCATCTCCTGTTGAGCAAGTTGCTCAGGAGCTGGCGATAGAGGTCACAGTACCCATCATGCCAAATGTGCATCAAAGGCTGAAATGAGTGGTAACTTCACGGGTGAGAAATGGTTGTGTAGATCATCCCTGGATCTACTGTGGATTAGAAGAGAATTTGGTAATGGGCCAATCAGGATGGATATAGGAAACTGCACAGGAGGGGTGCGAACCAGCTGTGAGGGGCCAAGTGTGTTCTGTTCTTTCTGCTTGTGATGGACCGGGTAAGCTTCTTCTGGAAGCAACCATCATAAAAGAGCCAAGCCAGGGATAAGCTATCACTTTCTTTTTTAAAACTTTCTTTATTTAAAAGATTATATATACAAAATAACAGACATCTACCCCTTCCTCGCAAAGTGCTTTATTCCAAGGAACGAGGGAATGGCGACCCATCAAAATCCTGCGGTTACGTCCAGTATTTTAATAACACTGCCCTGCAAGCTGAAATGTCTTCTGCCCAGTTCCAAATGCATCATGACTCGAACGCCATAGAAAGTGTTAAGCAATGACTCATCCAGACTCAAAGCTATGAAGGAAACCAAAACTCCTAACAGACAGGACAGAATGAATGTGGCAAAATTTTGAAGTGAATGGAAGCTGCATTTTTTCCTTTTTTGTCTTCTGGACAATGGCACGGTGTTTTCCACTGGGGCTGAATTTTTGACTGGGCCTCACGGAAACTTGGCAGCTAGCAAAATAGTTTCCCAGTTACTTACCAGGTGGATGCAGGGATTTGTCTGTGCAGATGTCCGAACACCGGAGTTCTCCCCTTTGGATATTGCAGCTGGCGTGTTGAAATGTCTCTCCGTACCTTCATGATTGGTTGGTCATGTCATTTCCAGTCTAAAACCAGGATACCTGACTCACTGGTGGCTGCTGTAGTAGGATTGCCAATTTCCAGGTGGCACGTGAGAGATCTCCCGCTATTACAACCAAGATCAGTTCCCCTGGAGAAAATGGCTGCCTTGGAGGGTGGACTTTACAGTATTATACCTTGCTGAGGTCCCCCCCCCCCCCAGGGCTCTACCCTGAAAATCTCCAGGTATTTCCCAACCCAGAGCTGGCAACCTTACACTGTAACACCAGCATTGGGCCGAGGACATTGGCAATAGCCAAGCTTCTGAAGATCAAATAATTCCCAATCCTGAGGTACATGAAGCCAGATAAGCCATAAAGGTAAAGGTTTCCCTTGCTTGAAAGCCAGTCGAATCCGACTCTAGGGTTGCGGTGCTCCTCTCCGTTTCAAAGCCGAAGAGCCAGCACTGTCCGAAGACGTTTCCGTGGTCATGTGGCCGGCATGACTAAACACCAAGGTGCACGGAACGCTGTTACCTTCCCACCAAAGTGGTCCCTATTTATCTACTTGCAATTTCTTGCTTTCGAACTGCTCGGTTGGCAGGAGCTGGGGCCAGAGACGGGAGCTCACTCCGTCATGCGGCACCCTGGGTCTTGAACTGCTGAACTACCGACCTTCTACAGCCTGCAGTTCAGCGTCTTAACCACTTGAGCCACCGCAGCTCCTAGATAAGCCATAGAGGACTTCAAAAATTGGCCGATCTCATAGCACCACAAGGAAGTAGAATACTCTGTTACCATTACCCACAGAGAGCTGGGGCATTTCAGAATGGTACTTGCAGAGGCAACAACTCCAGGAACGTGAAGGGAAGGTTGTAAGGTCGGCTGTCAACCTCGAGGTAGGGTCTGAAGATCTCCCAGAATTCCAACTGATCTCCAGACTACAGAGCTTAGTTCCCTTGGAGGGAACGGCTCCTTTGGAGGGTGGCCTCTATGGCGTCCCTTCCCAGCAGAGGCCCCTCCCCTCCCCAAACCCCGCCTTCCCCAGGCTCCACCCCCAAATGTCCAGGGATTTCCTAACCTGGAGCTGGCAACTCTGAAGGCTGTGTAGCCTCAGGAGGGCCCAACCTGATCCCACAGGCGGGGAAGGAGGTGGCATCTAAAGGATTTTGAACAGAGAAGGATCCGATCAAAAGCATGGCTGAATGAAGTTCCTATTTTGCTCCTATTTGCACACGTATGAATGTTGAATGTAAGTATCCCAACAGCACCCAAAGCAACCCTAAGGGATAACAGGCATGCCTTGCAGGTTTCATCTGGCCAGGCAAATCCTGTTCTCTCCCAGTTCATCCAAGCCCACTGTGGCATCCTCACTTATTGGGGAGACTGTTTCTCCTTTAAGATACACTCTGTGTACATGAACTTTGTAGATTTCTGCTGCCACCAGGAATTAAAATTCCAACTCTCTGTTTTGGTAGAATGACCTCGTTTCTGGGCGCTTCAGAGGACTATGTGGTCCCGAGGAAGGACTGTTCTGATTGCTGGAATAAGTTTAAACAAATAATGATTTATTTATAAAAGAACAAAATAGGTTTCTGGGTATTTTTGAATTGTTGTTGAAGAAAGAAAATATAACTGACAAAACTTGGTGTCACACACAGTCTCTCAGACACCAAAACTCAACTCTGAAAGGCTTATCTCTCTCTCTCATATATAGCCACACAGCCTGAACTCTCTTGCTCATATAGTCACAAAGGCTAAACTCTCTCTCATATATAGCCACACAGGCTACTCTCTTGCTCATACAGTCACACAGGCTGAACTCTCTTGCTCATATAGCCACACAGGCTGAACTTTCTCTCTCATATAGCCACACAGGCTGCACTAAGCTCAAACTGCTTCCTCTGTCACACAGACTCTCACAAAAACTCTCCACACTCGTCTCTTCAAGAACACAGAATCACCTCAGAGACGTCACTCTCCTCCCACACTCTCAGTCATCAGCCAATCGCATCACACTTATCTCCTTCTATCACTCTCCTTACATTACTGCAGTCACACTAGGCATTTAAAGAAACACACACACCAAAACCTGAAATCATTACACCCACGGTGCTCAATTTCAGGGCCCATTTGTCCGGGGGTGGAGGAGGAGGTAGAGGAACTGTCTTGGCCTCCTTATAAGTCCTGATCCTGAGTCAAAAGTCCTTGTCGGAGACAGGAAGGCTCTTTTGTCTGAGGCACTATTAATATGTAATGTGAGGACCGCGTCTCCTTCCAAGAAATGGCAGTCGAGAGGCAACATTTCCTGCCCTCCGTTGTGATTGTTTTTCTGAATCGTCTGATACCGTTTGGTCTCGAGACATTTGCCTCTTGCCAGTTTTCGATCCGGGTGAATTGGAAAAAACCACCGTTCCAAACAGGAATTAGTCACTGTTTAGAGCTCTCGATAGCTGCCAGCTGTTGTGGGAAAGGAACTGCGGAAAACAAACTTTGTCCTGTTCCTTGTCTCTCTGGATGGGGGCAGATTATATCTCTCTCCCTGCGGTGACTACAAAACTTTGCAGTGTACTATGACATAACCAGTGAATCAGCAGCTAGGGAATACACGAGACAAGGATATTGGGTTTTTTCCCCCCTTTTAGTTTAGAAAGCTGCATCATGTTTAGAGCAAAGGCACAGTCCAGAGGTGTGGATGTGGAACATTTAAGCTGTTTTTGGCAATCCGTCCTCCATTAAACCATTGCTAAGCTTCGGTGTGGCATGGGGCTTTGCTGTCTCGGCACTGAAATGTGCTGTCTTTGCAAGTGACCGAGAAAGACCTGGCAAAATGTTTGTTCCCCTCCAGGCTGGTGGTGGGAGCTCCTTACGAAACCAACGGGCAGCAGAAGACGGGAGATGTCTACAAGTGTTCTGTGGACGTCGAAGCCAACAGCACCTGTTCCAAGCTGAACCTAGGTAAAGCCTTGCGGCAAAATCCACGTGGAATAGCTCCTCCGCGCACCTCATGGACGTGACTGTTTCAGAAAGGCAGGAGTGCCACATCTCTGTTATTCTCCTGAGCAGATTGTTCTCGGTGGTTTATGTTGACTGCCTCTCCTCACACCATTGGTGAGGATTATGCTAATGTGGAAAGCATTAAATTAAAATCTCAAAGACCAACCCAGGACAATGGGAAGGTGTCACTTTCTGGCTTGGTGTCGTGGTTAAGTGCGCGGACTCTAATCTGGGAGAACCGGGTTTGATTCCCCCATGCCTCCACTTACAGCTGCTGGATGACCTTGGGCAAGCCACAGTTCAGTCCAAGCTGTCCTCTCGTGGACAGTTCTGGAAAGAGCTCTCTCAGCCCCGCCTACCTCACAGGGTGTCTGTTGTGGGGAGGGGAAGGGGAAGGAGTTTGTAAGCCACTCTGAGACTCCGAGTGAAGAGCAGGGTATAAATCCAATCTCCTCCTCCTCCTCTTCTTCTTTCTGGTATAGCACACTCATTGCTTGGATGATGTCCCGAAAGTTTAATTTTCCATGTCCCGTCATGTTGGGATCTAGGGATTAAGGTCTACTACCTGTCACTGATCCGGGGTGGAAAATGCCATCAGGTCTCAGCCGACTCACGGCTACACTGTTGGGTTTTCAAGGCTAGCGTTGAACAGAGGTGGTTTGCCCTTGCCTGTCTCTGCATAGCGATGCTAGACTTCTTTGGTGGCCTTCCACCAAGGCTAACCAGGCCCGACTCCGCTTAACTTCCAAGATCTGATGAGATCAGGCTGGCCTGGGCTATCCAGGTCACTGGTCTAAAAATTAGTTAATTGTCTAACTCAAAAAAGAAGAAAGGCAGCCATTTTTAAAAAAAGAAAATGACCTATTCACACACATGTGTACGCTAAAAATTAGTTAATTGTCTAACTCAAAGAAGAAGAAAAGCAGCCATTTTTTAAAAAAGAAAATGACCTATTCACGCATGTGTGTACGTGTGTGTTTGTGCATGTGTGTATGTGTGTGCACCTGGAAGCCATGGCGACCTCTGGTGACTGATCCCTTCTGGGGGCCTGGAGGATATTCGGAGAGGTGGCTGAATAAAGCCTGCCCCCCACCTCCCGCCTCTGGTATTCCTTGGAGGTCTCCCATCCAAATGCTTGCCAGGGTTGGCCCTGCTTTGCTTCCGAGATCTGATGAGATCGGTCTTCCCTGGCCTATCCAGGTCAGGGCTGGTCTTGGCTGTTTTGACAATCTCCCTCCCATAAACCCCATCTCCAATTTCCTTCCAAATTTGTATGACAATTTCTGTCATCCTAACAGATGTTGTCATGTATAGGGCACTTTCACACGTGCTAAATAATGCCGTCGTAATCCACTTGCAAACCACGAGCTGCGGTGGCTCAAGTGGTTAAAGCCGCTGAACTGCAGGCTGTGGAAGGTCGGTAGTTCAGCAGTTTGAGACCCGGGTGCCACATGGCGGAGTGAGCTCCCGTCTCTAGTTCCAGCTCCTGCCAACCTAGCAGTTCGAAAGCAAGAAATTGCAAGTAGATAAATAGGTACCGCTTCGGTGGGAAGGTAACAGCGTTCTGTGCGCCTTGGTGTTTAGTCATGCCGGCCACATGACCACGGAAAAGTCTTCGGACAGCGCTGGCTTTTCGGCTTTGAAACGGAGAGGAGCGCCGCAACCCTAGAGTCGGATTCGACTGGCTTTCGAACAAGGGAACCTTTACCTTTAATCCACTTCAGCGACCGTTTGCAAGTGGATTTTGCCATTTCGCATAGCACAATCCAGTTGCAAAGTGCACTGAATGGGGAATGAAAGTGCATTTTTTAATATGTGTACCTTGTTTGCCTTTCCCTGATGGATCTGAAGCATTCGGTGTACAAAGTGAACCTCGCTGGCCTCTTTTCACTGGGGAGGTCCCACGAACTGGGGAGACACCGGCCACAGCTTGGCCTTTCCGGAGTCCATGCTCATTTGGGCTGGAATGCTCCCTCTAAGCTGTGGAGTCTTGTGAGCAAAAATTCTCCTTTGTAAGCGACTGGCATTAAAGTTGTGAGCGAGAGCCATTTGGCTGCTGCATACATTAGTTTGCTCTGGGGCCATCCCTTCCTGAGCGAAGACAAAAATCTGTGAGCTGGGGGCTAAAAAACTGTGAGCTAGCTCACACTAACTCAGCTTAGTTTGGTGTAGTGGTTAAATGTGCGGACTCTAACCTGGGAGAACCGGGTTTGATTCCCCACTCCTCCTCCACTTGCACCTGCTGATGTGACCTTGGGTCAGTCACAAGCTCTGGCACAGCTGTCCTTGAAAAAGAGCAGTTTCTGTCAGAGCTCTCTCAGCCCGGCCTCCCTCACAAGGGTTGTCTGTTGTGGGGAGGGGAAGGGAAAGGAGTTTGTCAGCCGCTCTGAGACACCTTTGGGTAGTGAAGGGCGGGGTATAAATCCAATCTCCTCTTCTTCTTCTTCGTCTTCTTCTTCTTCTTCGAGGGAATGCTGCTGGGGATCTATCTAAAATGTTGTTGCCACAGTCCTTTAGGACAGTAAGTTGAAGCCATAATTCCAGGACGAGGGGGCACCTCAGCAGACGTTCTCGGTGGTTTGTGTCTGAGTATTTTCTCCTGTAAAGCCAAGCATTGTGATTGATGGAAGGAATTGCATACAGCGAGAAAGGCCTTTGAAAGTATGCTCTGCCAAGATTGATGCCTCTTTTTCACCGCCTGCCTGACATTGATGTTCTTTCCCCAAGGAAGAGTAACTCTTTCCAATGTGTCGGAACGCAAGGATAACATGCGTCTGGGCCTGAGCTTGACCACAAACCCCAAAGACAACAGCTTCTTGGTAAGCCATGGGATGTTTACGTAATCCATAGACGCTTTCTGTGTAAGCTTTTTTGTCCTCTTTGTGCGGGGTAAGCTTCGGACTTGGAAGGGGGACCCATTTTTAATCTCCGCCCTGCAACATGGGCTTTTGTTTTGAATGTTTGACTATATCCATCACAATCTTCTTTCTTTCTTTCTTTCTTTCTTTCTTTCTTTCTTTCTTTCTTTCTTTCTTTCTTTCTTTCTTTCTTTCTTTCTTTCTTTCTCTGGTTGCTTCCTCATTAGAAACTCTCTCTAAAACAAACATCAACTGGCTCAACTCTGTTCCTTTTCAGAATTTAGATAATGCCATTGTTCGTCAGTTGCATTCCAGTGTTTTCTGTGTTGTCTTCCAAGTTATTCAGATCTGATTTGTAGTGATTTCCCCCCCTGTCAACAAGGCAATTGCGATGCTCCACCACCCATGTGTGGAATGAAAAAATGCCGTTGAGGCTACACAAAATGATTTCCCCTTTTAAAATTTCCTTCTCTGTTGCTTCCTCTTCTTACCCTGGTTAATTACTGCAGCGTTGTCTTCCTTCATAGTGCTGGTGGGTGGCATTCCTTTGTCATTTCCTCTTCTCTTGGGGGGGGATGATTTACAGTGCAATCATACTCAAGAGTTGCTGCAGTTGTAATCCCACTGGAATAAGTAGGTTGACTGGAGCAACTCTCCACTCTTAATCCCAGTTTTTTCTCTTGGGCTGAAAGGTGATTGCTAACTTTCTTTCTTCTTTTTTATGATTGTCATCTTGTAATTGAGCGATTGCAATCATACACATGTTTACAGTCATTTTGCATCCCTGTAGGGAAGCAGTAATTAAAACTGCCCCCTCCTTGCAAAGGAATTGCGAAGGAGCCGGGGGAGTGTTGGACGGTAGCTGTGTCAGTATGCAGTAGCAGAGCCGGATTCGAGTCCAATCACATTTTAGAGACCAACAAGATTCTGGGGGTATGACCTTCCGAGCGTCAACGCTCCCTTCATCAGAACTTTGACTCTCAACAGCCAGTGTGGTGTAGTGGTTAAGTGCGCGAACTAATCTGGGAGAATGAGTTTGATTCCCCACGCTTCCACTTGCAGCTGCTGGATGACCTTGGGCAAGCCATAGTTCTCTCAGAGCATTCCTTGAAAGAGCAGTTCTTGAAAGAGCTCTCTCAGCCCCACCGACCTCACAGGGTGTCTGTTGTGGGGAGGGGAAGGGAAAGGACTTTGTAAGCCGCTCTGAGACTCCGAGCGAAGAGCGGGGTTTAAATCCAATCTCTTCCTCTTCTTCTTCTTCTTTTACCCCAAAATTCTTGTTGGGTTCTAAGGTGCTACAGGACTCAATCAGAGCTAGGGGATTGGTACTGTTAACCTCATCTTCCCTTCTTCTTCTGTGTATGCGTGCCCTAATAGTATTTCCTGCTACACAAATCTCCTACCCTATGAAATACCCAAGAGGCCACGCAGTCAACTACAGACGTCTTACCCATCACAGGTTGCTTTCAGTCCATATGCATGAGAACCAACCATGGCCCAAATCCCGTTAAAAGGAAGTGCATAGGAACACCGGGCCAGAACCCCATTTCCTGTCTCTGCCAGAACTCTGGTGGAGGTATTGTTCTCTTTCTCTCTCTGTGGCTCTCTCGTGTCAGTTTTGAGAACAACAACAACCTTGTAATGCAGAACAACTACCATGCAAGGTACAATTATACTAACAGTACTGAAAATGTGGTGGTGGAAATTGGCATCAAGTCACAGCCAATTTATGGCAATCCTGTGGGGTTGTCCAGGCAAGAGACAAATGGAGGTGATTTGCCATTACCTGCCTCTGCATAAAGACCCTGGGCTTCCTTGGTGGTCTCCCATTCAAGTAGTAACCAGGGCTCACCCTGCTTAGCTTCTGAGATGGGAGGAGATTGGGGTAGCCTGGGCTGGGAAGTAATTCATTAAGTATGGAAGCGCAGAGACTGTTAAGTAACAAGAATTTGGGTGGTAACACAATTAAAGGGACAGTTTTGGGGGAAAGAAGGACCTCTGTTGAGCAGAACCTACTTCTGTGAAGGATGTTGTAGCCCGGAGAGATTTTGTGAGGAATAAAAACCTTCTGTGAAGTGCTGAGTGGAATCCTCATTTTGTTTGCACTCGTGTAGAGGAATCCTTCAGCCTTGCAAGCGTGGAAGCAGCCGCCTTCTCTCTCCTCTTAAGGAGAGCGCCCGACTCTTTAGAAAGCGATGCCCGTACAGCCGACTTAGGGAGCAGTGGAATTCCATAAACAACATCTGTGACAAAAATAATGAAGAGTCAATAAAGAATAAAGAATTGGGATTGCTACGAGCTCAGATAAAGCAAATATTCTGAAACGAATTGTTTACATTGCGCAGTATTCGTTAGTGTGTGAGCGATAATAGAGGAACGTTTTCTACAGACTTACTACAGTAAACGCTTTTGCAAATTATTCCTTATTGACTCTTCATTATTGTTGTCATGGATGTTGCTTTTGGAATTCCACTTCCTCCCATGATCTCTCATTTTTTGCTTCAACTTAGGGGGCAGGGCATGACCCACTTCAGGAACAGGGGCCACCAGTGGCTGGCCAGTGGTTCGGAGGCTTGATTTACCTTGCTTCGCTGTCACATCGACACCGCTTGCGTCAGGACAAAAAGCGTTCCTGTGTCAGCAGCAGACTGGGACGCCATTCTGTACCCTTCTGGTGCATGCTGACTTAGAATCACACAATCACAGATTTGGAAGGGGCCACACAGGCCATCTAGACCAGCCCCCTGCTCAATGCAGGATCAGCCTGGAGCATCCCCAACAAGTGTTTGTCCTAATATCCAGCCAGTACCTTCCCGCCCTTAATTTAAACCCATTATTGCGGGGTTTTTCCTCTGCTGCCAACAGGAACAGTTCCCTGCCCTCCTCTGAGTGACACAGCCCTTCAAATACGAGCAATTGTGCCCCCCCTCAACCTCCTCTTCTCCAGACGGAACATTCCCAGGTCCCTTGGCCTTTCCTCAGAGGGCTTGGCCAGAGAGGCTTCTGGGAGGCTCAGAAGATCAACGTCCCAGGTTCTGGAGGGATTACCCAGGCCTCTGTTGATGTCGTGCTCCTAAAACCTTCCTTGGCATTCATTTCCTCCCCCCCCTATTCCCCCCCCCCATCCACAGGCCTGCAGCCCTCTCTGGTCTCACGAATGCGGAAGTTCTTACTACACCACAGGAATGTGCTCCCGGGTGAACTCCAACTTCAGGTTCTCCAAGACGGTGGCTCCGGCACTCCAGCGTACGGGAAACAGTTTGTCCTCCTGAAGCCCTTGCCTGCCTGCCTGCCTGCCTGCCTGCTTGCTTACTCGGGTGATGGGACTCAAAGGGGGTGTTGGGGGGGGTGTCCTCTGGTCACTGCAGTCCCACTTGGAGAAACCCATCTGGACACCAGTGGGTGAAAGGAGGTGGGAAAACTGAGAAGGAGTCTGGCGGCGGCAGGAAAGCAAAAAGGCTTTTCTTCCCAGACGGCGGCAATGACAGAATGCCGTGTGTTTCATACGGGCCTTCCTGCATTAGACGGGGAAAGAAAGGGCAGGGAGCCCCAGAAACAGATGGGCTGGATTCTTGCTCAAAAAGAAAAGAGCCCAGTCCACAGGGTTGCCAACCTCCAGGTAGGGCCTGGAGAACACCTACAATCAGGGGTCATTTCTTAGAAAAAGAGGTGCAGGAGCTCATTAGCATATCCTATTAGCATAACGTATTTGCATATGCCAACCCCCCCTGACATGACCGGAAGGGTGTCAGAAGGAAACACTCACTGCTCAGGCTCCACTGGACTGTTTTACCCCCGGGAATTTCCCAACCCTAAATCCAGAGGCAGGCAGCCAACTTTTCTCGCCATTTGCCTTCATTGCTGAAGAGGCTGTATCTCAAATGTGTGTTGACTTTGTGCCCACTTAATGATCATGGCTTGTGAGCCAGTTTGGTGTAGTGGTTAAGACTCTAATCCGGGAAAACCGGGTTTGATTCCCCACTCCTCCACTTGCACCTGGCTGGATGACCTTGGGCAAGTCATAGTTCTGGCACAGCTGTTCTTGAAAAAAGAGCAGTTCTCTCAGCCCCACCTACCCTACCTCACAGTGTGTCTGTTGTGGGGAGGGGGAAGGGAAAGGAGATTGTAAGCCGCTCTGAGACACCTTTGGGTAGTGAAGGACGGGGTATAAATCCAATCTCCTCCTCCTCCTTCTCCTCCTCCTCCTCCTCCAAGGAATCCTGGGAACGGTCGTCTGAAGAAGATGTTGCAAATTTTCTAGAAGCCCGAGCTTCTCCTGTAGCTCCTTGAGGCATAGGCGTAATCTTCGTGGGGGCGGCGGGGCTTCAGCCCCCGCCGAAATTTTCAGGAAAGGGCTCAGCCTCCCCCGGGAGCCACCCTTGCTCCTAGCACAGCAATGCCTCTGGCCCAGCCCCAGCCCCCCCCGGGAAATTGGAGCTGTGCCAGAGTTATGGCTTGCCCAAGGTCATCTTGCCAGGTGCAAGTGGAGGAGTGGGGAATCAAACCCGGTCCCCCCAGATTAGAGTACGCGCACTTAACCACTACACCAAACTGGCTCTTAAATCTTAAAGCAGGCGGGGAGAGAACAGGGTTGGAAATTCTGTCTTGGGAAATTCTTCTGGGAATCAGCTGTAGTTACAGAAGCACTTCAGGCTCCACCTGGAGGTTGAAAAAACCAAGAAGGGATCACAGGTATCCATGTAGGAAATACAGCAAACAAGCGAACACTGCGATATGAATGACTTTTAGTAAGAATCATATTGTATTGTAAATAAAACTTTACATTATTACAAGAAGAAATCCAACATTCGCAATGAGCGCCCGGTTATAAAATAATTTCATCCCAATCTTCCTCAGGAGTAAACCTGTTGTATTGAAAGGTATCAGCCTCTTGGTTGTGTTAGGAGCAATCCCATGCTTAACGTCTTCTTTATTTTCTTCAAATTATCATCTGGTTCCATTTCAAGTGTTTGCATTAGGAGCAAGCCAGTCTTGTCTAGGTGCAGAATCCTTCTATATTATACTGGCTTAAATGCTCTTTATGAACACTGTCTAAATATTCATAGGCCCCGTGTGGCAGGGGCCTAGGACATTTAGTAAGAATCATATTGTATTGTAAATAAAACTTTACATTATTACAAGAAAAAATCCAACATTCGCAATGAGCACCCGGTTATAAGATAATTTCATCCCAATCTTCCTCAAGAGTAAACCTGTTGCATTGAAAGGTATCAGCCCCTTGGTTGTGTTAGGAGCAATCCCATGCTTCACGTCTTCTTTATTCTCTTCAAATTATCATCTGGTTTCATTTCACGTGGTTGCATTAGGAGCAAGCCAGTCTTGTCTAGCTGCAGAAGTCTTCTATATTATACTGGCTTAACTGCTCTTTATGAACACTGTCTAAATATTCATAGGCCCCGGTCACACGGAGATTTTGCCACGCGAAAGGCACGAATGTCGGGCAGATTTTCGGGGCGCGATCACACAGCAACATCTGGGAAGCGTAGCACACCCGTGGCCAACCTGTGGCATCCTGCCGAAGATGCAGAGTTAAAAAGTACCAAGGAAAGTGCACTAGTATCCAGAAAACGCACGGCACAGGCGGGTGTCTGATCGCAGGAGCACTAGTATCCCATGGCATCCGGCGCCCGTCCACATCCCGTCAAAAACTGGATGTTTTTCGTAAGCGCATGCGCACAAACACGAAACTGAAAGCAGTGCTGCTCTGCAGAACTGCGCATGCACACAAACGCGAAACGCTGGTGTGATTGCGCTGCGCCGCTTCTTTGCCACGCTGCAGCATCGCCGTGTGATCGCCAGCTAACAGCCAAAGCATGGAGACTCAGGGGACCATGTGATTGGGCTACTGTGCTTTATTTTGCTCCGGGGCGAACAGCCACGCCTCCCCCCCCCC